TTTCTGGTAGCTACATTCTACACTAGCTGAAATTCCCTGGTAATCAAATCCAACAAGTTTAAAGTACATTCTGGAATTGTTGTAGTTAATTTTTGGGATAAGAAGTATCAATATTTGTGCTGATGTAGCATATCATGTCTTTATTTTAACAGTTCCTTCACCTCAGCCTGAAAGTACTACTGGTAAGATGTATATCACTTGCTTATGGAATAAAATTAAACCAGACACTCCATATATGCCACTGGTTTATGAAGTAATGATTAAACCTGCCACTCAATTCCAAACTTGATGTAACACAATCTATGGTTTTCTAAAATCATTTCTGGATGTGTGCTTCCATGGTAACCCCTTCCACAAGTTTGCAGTATTTTCTGGAATTATTGCAGTTATCAATATTTGTACTGATATAGCATGTAATGTCTTCTATTTTAACAGAAATGTTACCAACTACAGCTTTTCCACTTCAGAATGAAACTACTGGTAAGATGTATGTTACTTGTTTATGGAATAAAAATTAAACCAGACACTCGGGTCCAAACCTGAGGTAACACAATACATAGTTTTCCAAAATCATTGGCAGATGTATACCTCCCACTCAGGATTGGGATACTGGCATGGGAGAAGGGCGACTTTAATTGGGGCAGCTGGTTTAGTGTAAGGGTTGAACTAGTTTTTTTGTAGCCCAGTTCCAGTCTTTGGTCATACTGATTGAAAAATCAAATCTATAGACTTTACATAAATCTATTACTTGCAGGAAAAGAAGCCTTATGTTAGTGTTGTAAAATGTGTGGCCCAGTTATTGCGACATAATACATTCTTCACATTCTCCCTCCCTCATTTTTGGTACTTTGAAGCAATACATCATTTCTGGGCTAATTTTAGGTTTTTGCTTATCCTTGTCTTAATGATCTTCTTAACTCTTTCATGTATTATGCATATTGGATTCCAAGCTGGTTAAAGGGATTTTCTGACAGTCCTGGTCCACAATGGATCTTAGATTGGACATATTTATTACATGTAAAGTCTGGAATAGATGTGCTACAATCCTATCTTTTTTAAGCATAGGATAACTTTTAGAGGATGTTTAAGGACCTAATTTAATGTTTGTCCATCAAATGAGGTGGAAGATCATGTAGGATGTAGTAGATTTAACTGTAGAAGTGCTAATCTGACATAGATTGACCCTTATTTTTCTCACATTTGCAGCTTTCATAGTTTCTAATAATACAAGTTCAGCAACAGTTTCCTCAAGATGTAAGTTCAATTCTCTCCCCATTGGGTAAAATATGCTTGTGCAAATTTGAGCGAGAGATCTAGCTCCAAACCAAACCAACTCCTCTGGATAGATGATCTGACATTTGGAAAAGTTAGATGTATGTTTAGCAGCAGCCTCTCTCACAAGAACAAACCAGATACTCCATTATTGCCAAAGTCCATGACATTCCATTTGTCCCTTCTCATTTAGGAACCATTGTACAGAGAGGTGATTTCTTGTTCCTATACCAACTTAGTTGCTTTCATGAAATTTACCCTCCTGGTTATGTTGCCTTGCCAGTGTGCTGTACTCAAGTTTAACGTAGAAATAAATACACATTTCAGGAGACAATTAAAACATATCACACCCCTACTCTGGTTCAACTGCTGCCTCCTGAAAAACAACAACAACAATAACAACAACAACAACAACAACACTTTATTTATATACCACTCTATCTCCTCAAGGGGACTCAGAGCGGTTTCCAAGTAACATAATCAATACATACAAAGAAAACAGCATAAACATAAAATTAACAAGACAATATAAGCATTAAAAACCACAATAGCACATATATTTAAAATAATCCTGCCTGTTCAAGGCAGTTTAAAAGGCCGGGCCAGGCTAGTGCGATTTTAGAGGGCTCGGAAAATTAGGTAGAGACTATGGCTGGGTAATTGGTAGAAAAAGTGACCTGGGTAATTGGTAGAAAAAGATATGGCCAATTTCAACAGTGTCTGGGGCAGAGCTACAACTAGTCATTCTCAAAGGTTTGTTTAAACCACCACGTCTTCAGGCTCTTACGAAAGGAGGGGAGGGAGGGGGCCTGTCTTATTTCTCCAGGAAGGGCGTTCCAGAGGCAGGGAGCCACCACCAAGAAGGCCCTCTCTCTTGTCCCTACCAACAGTGCTTGTGACTTTGCAAGAAGTGACATTAGAGCTTTCATTTCATGAAGCTCTGACGCAAGGAATCATTTCTTAGGATTGATAGTGGAAGAATGACTGTTTTCTCACATGACAGATATTTAATAGTGAATTTTGGATAACACTAGCATTTGTTAATGATTTGACAGAACTGTTTGAATGTGATTGTGAATTTCTAGTAGTAGGAATCAAAAATTAATTTATTAATGAGGAATGTGTCAGTAGAAACAACTATTGTGAACTTACACACAGACTATGACTGTAACTACAATCTATAGGACACTTCTATCCAGCTATATAGATGTGGTTTCACTTGTTGATTCTACTGATAATATCGAGTTAGATCAGTGTTTCTCGACCTGTGGGTCCCCAAATATTTTGGCCTTCAACTCCCAGAAATCCTAAAAGCTGGTAAACTGGCTGGGATTTCTGGGGGTTGGAGGCTAAAACACCTGGGGACACAGGGGTTTTTTTTCTCTTTCATGTCAGGAGTGACTTGAGAAACTGCAAATAGCTTCTGGTGTGAGAGAATTGGTCATCTGTAAAGATGTTGCCCAGGGGATGCCCAGATGTTTTACCATCCTGTGGGAGACTTATCTCATGTCCCTGCATGGGAAGCTGGGGCTGACAGATGGCAGCTCACCCCCGCTAACTGGATTTGAACTGCTGACCTTTTGGTCAGCAGTCCTGCCAGCACAAGGGTTTAACCAATCTTGGGGCTGCCTAGATTTAAAACGCAGGTGGGAAATATGTGCCTCTCAAGATGGTGCTGAAGCACAGTTCTCAATTTTTCACCACTGACAATGTTGGCTGAGGGAATTATAGTTTAGCAGCACTTGAAGGGCTGCAGAATTCCTAGCCCACTCAGAATGTTCGAAGATTCTTATATACATTATCTTAACAACTACTCTCTAAAATAGACCCACTGTACTCTAAATATTAATTAACAGCATATTTGTACAGGCAGGGTAGGGAATCACTATATGTTGCGGGCAATCTGTAGAGGTTGCTATAAAGGGAAGCCTGTCCTTGTTTAGAAATGGCACATGGGGAGTCAGACTAAGAGTGCAAACTGTAAGCACTCATATTCCCAATTCAGACACAGATGAATTGAGGTCTGAACTGGTAGCGTGAATGCTTTCAGTCTGCTAGCAGTTCTTATCTACTGCATTATTCAATTTTTTAAGGCTTGCAACAAGCAAAGGAAATGTCAGGCTGATAAGCAACAGTGCATTTCCCCATCACACACTCTTTTGCATCTGGCTTCAACAAAGCTCTGCTTGTTTCTTAAAATAGCTTACATGATGCTTTTAAACAGAGGCTGGATGCTCATCTGTTGGGGGTGCTTTTCCTGCATGGCAGGGGATTGGATTAGATAGGCCATGTGGTCTTTCCCAACTCTGTGATTCTATGCTGGAACCTAAAAACTATGGTTTAAAGATTTCCTTCTAACCAGGGTATCAAACCAGGATCAGAATATTATCATTTATTTATTACATTCAGATTAGTATTAGGCATGTGCAACCTGGTTTTAAATGGTTCTAAAGTACTTACAAAAATAGGGGGTGCTGGTGCTTTGTTTCTAAAGTGTTTCTAAAGTTTTGGTGGTGAAAATTTCAAAACTCTAACAAAACTTTCAAAATTTCACCACTGTTAGCTCACCAAATTTCAGAATATTTGACTTATCCACTGATTTTTGGTGAATTTTCAAAGTTGTTATAAAACGTTTTTTAATAATAATAAAAATTCTGTTACTGGTTTGAAACTGTTATATCCTGTTTTATTTTGTGGTCTTTACTCCAGAAACTTTATTTTTGAAGCAGAAACTTTATTAAATTGATGGAGACTCAACAAACCAAAATGTGCTATAGGGCAATGTCCCTTGCACAAGACAAAGTTTTTGCAGTGTAATAAACTTTTGCTATGTTTTTATGACAGAACCAATTAGGAACTGCCATTTATAATGAAATTTTGAAAGTTTTGTTAGAATTCCGAAATTTTCACCACTAAAACTTTAGAAACACTTTAGAAACAAAGCACCAGTGCCTCCTAGTTTTGTAAGTACTTTAGAACCATTTAGAACCATGGATTGCCCATGCCTAATGATTATGTCTCCCCTGGCTTAAAACCTATTTTCATTGATAAAGTATTACCCTCAACTGAAAACACATCCAACCACAGGTATTTATGAAGTGTGTACAAACATGAACATATTTTTCACTACGTATGCGTTTTTACAAGAAATTACATATTGCTTTTGATAAAGTAGGCTCTTAGTCTATCAATGCTATCTCACAGAAAAGTTCCAGAAAATGAAATATTTCACTCAACCCACAGGTTGAGAACCACTGAGTTAGCCAGAGGAGTGAGCTAATATGCATAACATGTATCACTTGGCTCTGCTTCGATTCACAAATACTGAAACTGTCTTTGTTGGTTTGTATTAACAAATAGACAAGTCTATATGTTAAAAGGAAAAACTGAAATAGATTGTTTTCTTTACAAAACATGTGAAATCAAAAAACTTGATGACATAGTACCATGATAGATTTTCCTTTCCTGATCTGTTTATATACAAGGCCAATTCAACAAATAAGCAAAATACAATTATTTTCTAAAGTCATATATCTGGGGTGCTATTAAGAGGCAACAGCTTCTCAATTGTTTCATGAGTACCACAAAGCACATCATTACAGCAATGGAGATTTCTCTTTAAGCAGCTGAAATGAGGCCCCAAGCAAATTTAGACCTGGTTGTACTGACGTCTATATGTACTCACATTACACTATTAAAATTTTCTCTGTCCCATCTTTCAGCACTCTCGTGTTCTGGAGAACACATGACTGCACGCATCAAAAGAACCTATCTTCGGTCACTAGGCTACAATGCATGGGAAGTATATGTAAATTCATCAGACTCCCGCTGTAGACCCCAGATTACATATGAATATATTACCTTCTATTTACCATTCAATGGTTGTGGCACTCACAGACAGGTAAGAATTTATTAATTCCTTTTTTACAGTTGAAACTGTGTGCCTATTCATGTGTCATTCTGATATCAGTGTATCCCTTTCATCTTAATTATTACGGTCTCCTGTATGTAGAGTGAGATAGTATGAAGTTGGGTATCCCTGCTGCAATGAGCTGGCATTTGCCAAGAAAGGGGTGGCTTGAGGTAGAACCCTTAGAGTCACCATTCCAAGTGGCACAAGAGTGGAAAAGGAATTATTGGTCTATAATATCAGTTCTATATAGGTAGAAAGAGGTGTATGTAGTCATACATAGGGTGCCATTAATAAGCTCAGTAGAGAAGCTTTAGTTAATCTTTCAGCCTTAATCAAAGAATATGTAACCTTATGAACAGTAACCTATAGGAATCTGCGGAATAGGAGGCAAATCTCAGCCCATCTCCCCTGCTGTAACTTACAGGACATTGGCATTGAAGTACCCTCTAAATCAGTGGTTCTCAGCCTGTGGGTCCCCAGGTGTTTTGGCCTACATCTCCCAGGAATCCCAGCCAATTCACCAGCTGTTAGGATTTCTAGGAGTTGAAGGCCAAAACATCTGGGGCCCCACAGGTTGAGAACCACTGCTCTAAATGGATTGAGGGGAACTGCAGCATCCACCCCAGAGGACTTGGTAGGCTGCACTTCTCCCACATGGACAGTGAGGGGCTTCACATTTAACATCTCATAGAATGTAATTAATATTGACTATTTTTTTCAGCATGTAACCTTTGCAACTTTCTTCTTGCTTTAAGGAAATATTTGGAAACCTGTTTGCCATTCAGGCCTCATTTGTAATGCAAGACATACTATGCAGAGGAGTGCAGCAAAAGGCCTATTTTGTATTGGGGGCAATATACACACCCTCCATCTTTTTTCTGGTTGTTTTTATAGTTTAGGTTTATAATTATAGTTTATAGAGTTATAATTCATCAATGAAATTGTCCATTTGCACTGTAACTCTAAGGAAGTATAAGGGAGGAAAAATACTTTTAAATCACATCAGAAAACCATGCCCCACTTTTAAAAAACCACCACTTGAAAATTCCTGGTATAAATTCCTGTGAACCACCCTGAGTCCCCTTCAGGATTGAGAAGGACAGTATACAAATACCGCAAATAATAAATTAATAATAAATAAACAGATCCATATAAACATAGATGAATTGATTGGATGCAAAAACAAGAAAAACTAGCAAAACTTAGCAAACTCCAAGGAACTATATTGTGAGAAACTAGATAAATTTGGAACAGCCTTGAGATAATGCTTTAATTAGATATAACTATAAAATATATCAAAACTTTTTAATAGTCAAAAGCTGGATGTTTTATAAGGCAAGAAAAGAATTGCATATATTTTGACATAATTTGTCTTTGTTTTCTTTTTTTCTCCCCTCCTTTTTTATTTGTTTGTTTATTAGGAGAGCAATAACGAAACCATCATTTACTCCAACATCATCAAGACAGAAGCCCCTGAACATATCATTACAAGAAAGAGAAACTTTCAGTTTCACATCATGTGTGAAATGAGTGCAAACACCATTGTAGAAACAATGTTTGTTGCCCAAAATTCTGTTGACATTACTGAAAAACATCATGGCCATTATGAAATGACTCTTAGATGTTATGAGTCACCATCTTACTCTCATCAAGTTTATGGCTTTCCCTATTATGTTTCAATTAATCAGGTGTTATACTTTGAAGTTATTCTCGACAATTCTGATCCAAACCTAATCCTGTTTTTAGACACGTGCAAAGCCTCTCCACATGCTCATGACTTCGAAAATTTGACCTATCCCTTAATTGAACATGGGTAAGTGTTTCAAAGTCCTTTACATCCTCTGGATTATTCTGAAGGAAGACTAATGTTGATAGACACACTAGATATACATTGGATTGTGACCAACTTTAGGTTTCTGTACCTCTTAGGTGCAGGATCCTAATCAGATGTATATTAGGTGTCATTTCTAGTTTTGTACCATTCCCAAGCCTAAAACAGGGAAACAAAATTGCCCCCACCCTCTAAGGGACAAAGTCTCCATTTTGGGATGTAAAGGGTGTGTGAAGCAAGGTGCATATGCTGTCCCAGAACTTCTGGAAGCTGCCAACTAAACTAATCTAAACAAAGCAGACATAACTTTGATATTTTTTTTTCTTCCTCAGATGTGTACAAGATTCTACTTTCAAAAATCTGCATCCACCAAACAACAATGCAGCTCGCTTTGAGTTCAATGCCTTCAAGTTTGTTGACCAACACAATGAAGTTTTTTTGCAATGCAAGCTGGTTGTATGCATGGCAAATGACTACTCTTCCCGATGCTACCAGGGGTGCTTAAGCAGAAAGAAGAGGAATGTAGATGAAGATCAGGACAAAGTGGATGTTGTTTTGGGACCATTCAAGCGCCAGGAAACACTTCATGAAGACAATAGACAGGGTAACTCTCTGTATAATTAACACAACTGTTCTAATAGGTTTTCCAAAGGAATTTCAAATAATACAGAACCAAATGTTTGGCACTCAATAAAATATTGAATATGATCATATTTATCTCTTAGGACACAATTGTATTAGTATTTATATATTCTACTATCTCTTTTATTTCAATTTTTACCAACCAAGAGCATAGGAATCCATCAGAGAATGTCAAAATTCCTTTAACCACCTAAACATAGACACAATGATATGTTTATTTAAAGTAGCATAAGACACATAGGAAGAAGACACTCTAAAAACAATTTTAGTGAAGACTTATGATATGTAAATGTGCCCACCTGTTTTGGATTCTGGCCAGAGTCCCCTTGGGGAGATAGGGTAGAATATAAATAAAGTTTTTAATAATTATTTTAAGGGGAATAATGGGAATGCTAGTTTTAATAAATTGCATAAAGTGTTGAGAAAGAGCTGGAGGTCAGTTTGCAAGAATCCACATCCTTTCCTTTGGAAGAAGGCACAACAACAACTGCTAAATTTATTGGAATTTTGTAAAAATTGTTCTACACAATGTTATTTTTCCTTAGATTTTTACTTAAGTGGCTCAAATGTAACATTTTGCACATTACAACCCTTAATACATACTACAGTCCTTAGTTTTTTTTTAAGCTGAGTTTTATGTGTGTTCATTATTTTTTCATTTCCAAATATGTGAACTATTTCATTTGAAAATAGAACAGGATGGGAACTCATCTGATATAAATACTTGTATTGTGAATATTCACTTAACAATGCCATCAAATGATGAACATATAGAATTTGTCCTTAAATGAAACTTTTGAATGTATGTTCTGATAGTACTAATGGGCATATTTTTAGATTCTATAATACATTATTTAATTCTATGTTTTTTGTTTTGTTTTTGTTTTTTACAGAATTGGCTAAAAATGTGAATCCAGGGAAGGATGAAGCTTTCAATCCACTTACTGTTGCTACTGTAGTTTTGGCAGCTATGGTCTTTGTGTTGTCTGGCTTTCTTCTAAGCAGTAAACTAAGAAGAAAAAATTATCAACAAATTTACTGATGCCAATACATCGTTTATGTAAACAGGCTCTAAAAGTTCATTGAGCACTTTCGACATATAATCTGAAAATGCAACTGTAAAATGTACTTTTTAAAGTGATTGGTTATTTCCCCACAGTAAATTCTTGAACTTCACATCAGCAACATGGACCTAGCTATTGTATAGGTTATAGCATCAACTACAACTAAGTTAAGACAAGAAATTGGGCTTTAAATATTTGCTTTGTTATAAAATAACGTAAACTCATGGCTAGGAAAATTGTGACCTTCAAGATGTTGTTGGACTGCAATGTCAACCATGCCTCATGATTAAACTTGAGGGAAGTGCTGTCCTTAAACATCTTAAGGGCCACAAATTGACTGCTTTCATTGTTACGTTGAAAACATTTTGATGAATGCCTTTATGGAATTTTGGTTGTCATCCTCTCCATGTTGTATTAAAGTTCTATGTCTGATGCAAATTTTGTCATCATAATTCTACATTCAAATATTATATGTGATTTTGTGTGTTTGTGTGTGAGTCAGGAGAAACTGCAAGTCGCTTCTGGTGTGAGAGAATTGGCCATCTGCAAGGACGTTGGATGTTTTGATGTTTTACCATCCTTGTGGAAGGCTTCTCTCATGTCCCCACATGGGGAGCTGGACCTGACAGAGGGAGCTCAACCCGATCTCCCTGGATTTGAACCGCTGACCTGATGATTTAACCTACAAGAGTTTAACCCATTGCACCACTGGGGGCTCCTGTTATATGTGATTACTACATACATTTGATATGCATTATTTCATGAGGTTTTCAAAGTAGTCATGTTGGTCTCATGCAGCAAAAAAAGAAGAGGAGGGGGAGGAGCAGGACAAAGAAGGAAAGTAGCAACACCTTTAAAATGAATTCGTTTTTTTAAAATTTTTAACCTGAATTCTTATAGATATAAATCTACTTCTTCAGATACAGTACAGAGTGATATCCAAGTCTCAGGACATAAAGCATACCTTTGGTATCTTTCTGAAACCTATTACATTCCATCTGCTCCCACAACTGTGTAAATATGCTTTATTTCCTGGGAATGGGTATCACTCTGGACTTAATACAAAGCAGTCAATTTATATTCACCAACACTTAGGCTAAAAGAAAATTTCGTTAATCTTAAAGGAGTGCTTCAATTCCTTTCTGCCTCCCAGTCCTTTTCTTCTTTTTAAATATCCCATGAGGCATTTGTCAAGACCTTTTCATAAATTTGTGATTTTAAAAAGGCACATGGCAATAATTCTTTAAATCTTTGCACTATATAAGTAAGGGTAAAGGTTTCCCCTGATGTTAAGTTTACTCATTTCGATTCTTGGAATTGGTGCTCATCTCCATTTCTAAGCCAAAGACCTGGCATTATCCATAGATACCTCCAAGGTCATTTGACCAGCATGACTGCATGGAGTGCCGTTATCTTCCCACAAAAGTGGAACCTATTGATCTACTCACATTTGCATGTTTTCAAACTGCTAGATTGGCAGATGCTGGGCCTAACAGCAGGAGCTCCCCCCCCCTCCCCAGATTTGAACTGCCAACCTTTCGGTCAGAAAGTTCAGCAACTCAGCAGTTTAGCTTGCCACTATATAGGGAAACATATTTCAATTACTTTAATTTTCACATTTATGTTTGGTAAACTTTGATTAGTATTGTATTATCTGTCACATTTTTAAAAAAAAATGGCCTATAGCCTGAATGACCTTTGAGGTCATTAGAAAACCTTCATTTTAAGACACTTTAATACCATTCAGACAAATAGAATCAATAAAAAAATTTCTTTATTGGATATTTAGCAATGGTTCTTACAGACCAATTGTCCTCTATGATACTAATATCACTTGTAAAGCAGAATAATTTCCAGGTACTTGTGGATGTCTGTGATCCCCTGCTTGATAACCACAATAATGGCAATAATTACAACAGACACCATATTGCATAATAAAAGGCCACAACTTTATTTGGTTACAGCTTATCAGGGTTGGCCTCCCAAATGAGTCAAGAATCTCCACAAGCTGACCTCCTTGCCATCTGGAATAATACAATTTGGACTTGAAACAACTGCTAGGGGTTCCCAGACTCAGTCTGTCTCATGGAATACCTGGCCAGGATAATCTTATGATATACCTGAATGTGATGCAGTGTGATTACCCTGACAGGCTGTACCTGGCCTCACCACATCTGTTGGCCAGGGTTCCCTGGTTTGGGACCCGTTATCAACTGCCAGTGTCCATTTTCACTGTTGGATAACTGGATCCAAGAGCCATGGCAACCGCCATTAAGTTGGACGCAGCCACAGCCCAACCGCACCAACCTTTTGCTGCAACCACATAAAGGTGTTGTTCTGGCAAAACTACAACTACATACACAACCATGAGTTCAAGTTAGAGTAATTAAATAGCCACACTACAAATACATGCACAATCACATGTACAAACTTCACAAAATGATGAAATAACCCTTCTAATTAATACATGGGTAAAACCCAACTTTGAATATCTCCCCTTTGCTGCCAATGACTGTGTGACACCACCAAATGTCAACAAGGCTGTGAGCCTACCACTTGATGCCACTCAGCAGTCAACCATCTCTCAATTAAGCACAAAGTCCATGCACAAACTACCTTAACAAAAAAGAATATACAGGCTAGCCATTTCCTGACCAAGCTTGAGGCCAGTCCAAGTTCCTTAAGGGGAGAAAAGCCCAGGCAAGCTAAGAAGGTCTCACTAGGCTGTCTTTGAGAACATGATAGATGTCTATAGTGAACAAAATGTCAGTTGCTTTAAGTAATTAATTTAGGTACACTAAGGTAGACAGAGAGATGCCAATTCTGTCAAGACTCTGAGCTGGGAATAATTTGTGTCCTCATCACACAATGGAAATTCAGCATCCTATGATGCTTCTGCCCCAGTTGACCCACAGACCCCATGCCACCCATCACACAACATAGCATCATTTCTGGCAGGGCTGCATGGGTTGACTGGGGCAGAAGCCTAATGGGCTGCTGCCCCGCCACCACAGGAGCCTCCCCATGTTCCATTTGGAACAACAGAGCTTCCATGGGGACAAGCCATGTGGCAATGCTTTACCACATGTGGTGGGAAGCATCAGCTGGCAGCGAGGTAGGGTATGAGGTGCCAGGATCACACCACTGCCCCCTGATTTGCCATAGAGTCTGGCAAATTGTAATGGTGAACCTCATCTTGTAGTATTGAGATGGATCCTTAGTTAGTACTTGGATGTGAGACCACCAATGAATGTCAGGTGCTGCAGGTTATGGGCCCTTCCACACCGCCCTATATCTCAGAATATCAAGGCAGAAAATCCCACATTATCACAGTGTGAACTCAGATAACCCAGTTCAAAGCAGATATATTCTGCCTTGATATTCTGGGATATAGGGTTGTGTGGAAGGGTCCTATATTTCAGAGGAAAGAACTAGTAAAGCCACTTCTGAGTGTTCCTTGCCTAAGAAAACCCATTAAAATTAATGGAGTCACTATAAATCCACATAATTTATCCCATTATATTAAAATACATACACCTCTACTACAATTTATACCTACACATATGTATGTCAGCGCAAACATACAACATGGTTCATGGAACTCTTTTAATATTTTACTATTTTCTACAATCCTGGTGATTTCATAACCCAGTTAGGAATAGCTGAGTACTCAATTACTCAATTATACATTTCACTTTCATGATGCCATGCCCAATGCTCTTGCCATTTAGTTTAAAGGCTGCTTTTGCACACTGGATAGAAAGAAAAATAAACATTTCCTCAAAGAGCTCTTTGTATGAAGGCATTGTTCATTTATATTCTTTATAAACTGTTCACAATGATTAATATGCCATAGGAAATGCAGTCTCACAGATCTTCAGAAACACAGAGATGGACGGATAAGATGGGTAGGTCAGAGATGTCATTCCTACCTCACCAAATGTTATTCTGGCCCCCAATCTCATCACCTCTGATGTCAGAAGAGCTACTGGAACTGGTTTTATCATAGGTCATTGGGGTGTATTTTATAAAGCCTTCATGTTACAATCACTCACTGGTCAGGGTGATGGGAAAGCATAAGGGGGTGCAGAAGGATCGATAGCTTCCCAATACCCTTTCTCCTGCAGGCAGGAAGGGCTAATGACAAAAGGAAACTGAGCCAGCTACTAGTAGGCCTCATCACACTAGAGAAAAAATCCACTTAAAATCCAGTTTCTGCCTTCTGCAGAATTCTGGGCTTTGTAGTTTAGGAAGCAACCTCTAACAGACTCACTAAACTACAAATTCCAGAATTCTGCAGAAGGCAGAAACCAGATTGTAAGTGGATTTTTTTCTCTAGTGCGATGAAGTGGATTACCACTTCTGTAGAATTCTGGTGTTTGTAGTTTAGTGGGGCTGTTACAGGTTGCTCCCTAAACTACAAAGCCCAGAGTTCTGAAGGAGGCAGAAACTGGATTTTCAGTGGATTTATTCTCTAGTGTGATGAGGCCTACTAAGAGTTTAAGGCATAGCTCAGCCAGGGCCCTTCCAAGCAGCCATATAACCCAGAATATCAAGGCAGAAAATCCCACAATATCTGGTTTGAAGTGGGTTATCTGAGTCCACACTGCCAGCTTACTTGTCCAAACGTATCTCCCGCTACGTTCTGCTTCCAAGTTTAAGATCCACCGGGGAGGCCCTGCTCTCGGTCCCACCAGCCTCGCAAACGCGTCTGGTGGGGACGAGGGACAGGGCCTTCTTGGTGATGACCCCCCGCTTGTGGAAATCGCTCCCCAGTGAGATTAGATCGGCGTCCTCCCTCCTTTCCTTTAGGAAAGAACTGAAATCATGGTTTTGGAACCAGGCCTTTGGCTACCAGACATAACAGAACTTTGGACACTGAACTGGACCAAATGATTGTTATAACAATGGAAATGGCTATATGACTGTATAAATAATAGTATTGTTTTTAATCTATTGTGTATTTATGGCATTATATTGTTGTTTTATTGTGATATTTGCAACATCGAATCGTTGCCAGTGTTAGCCGCTCTGAGTCCTCCCCTCGGGGGTTGAGAAGGGCAGGGTAGAAATGTTGTAAATAAATAATAATAAATATATCCCAGTTCAAAGCAGAAAATGTGGAATTTTTTTCAGTTGTGTGGAAGGGGCCCCTGTGGCAAGATGGAGAGGGGGAAATGTGAGTTAAAGAAGCCTTTCTCTCTTGGCCCTTAGCTGTATACTGAATCAATTCAAGACAGCATGGCCCTTTACCTTTTGGTAACTGGTGTCCTCTCATGCTGTGTGGGCATTCAAGATGCAGCCAGCTACGCAAGAGAATTAATGTGGTTTAACAACATTTTAATTGCCATGACTCAATGCTATGGAATGATGGGATTTGCATTAGGTAATCACTTTAAGAACTCTATTAGTTAGCTGCTGATAG